CCTCTTCTAAGGCACTCCATATCCTTTGGTCGCTGTATTCGCCGAAAGGATCCAAATTTTTTCTGACACTTCCCGTGAAGACCACCGGGTCCTGAGGTATGATTGAGATCTTTGACCGTAATTCATGCAAACCTATTGATCCCGTGTTAATGCCGTCCATAACTATCTGCCCCTTCGGCTCAACCATACGAAACAGCGCTGATATGATGGACGACTTGCCGGCGCCCGTCCGCCCACAGATCCCTATCTTTTCTCCACTGTTTATAACACAATTCAAGTTCTTGAGCACCGGTTTGTCTGATCCCGAGTAGTATAGACTCACATCCTTGAGCTCTATCTGTCCCTTCTGTGGCCAATCGGGAGGGGGTTTACGGCTCTCATGCGCTGTGAGGGCCGCCTCTTGTGGTAGTTTTGAGTACTCAATGATGCGCTCGACTGAAGTCATCTGACTCTCCATCTCTGCCGACTGTTGTGCTCCCCATGCGGTCACTCCCATCAACATTAGGGCTAATTTATTTGATTAATTAATATTGTGCTAGCTTAGGGTTTAACAAATTATTGAAATGGCTGACAAAATTCCAAGAATATGTCAATAATTTTAAAAATATTGATGGCTTTTGAATAAGGTCGATGACAACTCAAAGCCATAAGTATGATGTGAAACAAACCTGATGATAAAGCGAGTCCCGCCTCTCCCGCTCCCAACTGTTCGGGGAATACCATAAATACCGTAAATAGGATAACGGTATAGAGAAAACATAACACATCTATTATTAAACGGAACGCAAATTTAGCAGTGGTGTCGAGCATCCAAGTGGCTGAGTGATCATCTTGGTAAACGTAGAATTGTTTTTCAAACATTTCCTGAGCCCTAAAGGCCCTAACACTGGCCAACCCATTGAACGTTGTGCTCACGTGTGAGAACACTGGACTCTGGGCTATAAATTATTATTTTAAAATTATTATATTTTTTAGTTATTTAAATTAAACTTACTAAATCCTTCAGCCCGTTCAATATCCCTTGCTGATTTGATGTAAATAGCCCTAGCTGCTAAAAGCATTATAATCAGGAAAAATGCTGGTATGATTAAATATGGATTGACGATCACAATCATGATTATCAAACCGATAAATACAGTCGCACTCTAAACAATTATTATGATATACAGAGCTAATTAATTCAGTGAAAATTCTAACTTATATTGTATGCAAAATAGTAAATTACCGAGTTTAACTCAAACGCTGTACTTGGCAGTTGCTCGTCAATTGTACCAAGATCTTTTGAAAAGCAATTTAATATTTGACCTATTGGTTATACAACAATTATAATTAGCATTATTTATTGTGTTAATTAATGAACTAACCAACTGGGTTATTCTCAAACACATATATCGGGGCCCGTAATACACAATAAAACATAGTGTTGTGCAGATTAACTGAAGCCTTCATAAACATTACAAACCATGTGATAGTTCTTAATAAGGATGCGATGAACAGCGCGGCCATCATTAAGGAGTAGATAATCGCATCCCTGTTCTGCTCAGATGTGTTAATATGATCATTGGTTTAATTTTTATTACTCCTATTGTAAAAATGGATATTTTGATGCATAATTGATGATGATAAATTAAACATGCTTATTATATAATTTTATTTGTACAGTTAAATTATAAATTTAATTTACTCGTATTTATGATATTTTTTAAATAATAAATTTTATAAACAATGTTGCGCAACGAAAGTAGTTTAATTAATTAAATTAAATATAACTAAATAAAGGATTAGTTTTATAAGGATAAAATAAAGCTTAAATACTAATAGTAGTAATACTTTTTTGTTTGTAATTTTAAAAATTAATGCTAATTAAAATATCATTTGATAAAAATATAGAAATACTTATTCTTAATATACTGTATTTGCTATTTTATTTAAAAATAAATGATTAATTTATGCAACATTTATAAATGTAATGTTAATGTATTTAATGTATTTATTTGTTAGATTTGCACATTTTATATAAAGTTATATTTACACATTTTACAAATAAAATTGTCATATATGAGATAAGGCAATATGGTGCAACCTGTTAATATTGCACTAATTGTACTAATCTTATCGAATATTAACTGAATAACAAATTATAACACATTTGAAATTAGGAATAATTAATTACTACTTGAATTAAAATAATAATAGAACAAAAACAAAACCGAAAACTTTTTTTAAATTAAATTTTTAAAATGTTATATTCATAAACATTATTGAGTAAAATTAATTGTTTATTAATAAGGCTAAGAATGATATTTTTAATGTATATTTCAACATGATTCATTAATGAGATTTTACATTAAAAGTATTAGATTAAGGTGCAAAACATACAAAATTACACTTTAATATATAGTTTTTTGTACCAAAAATGTACTAAAGTGTTAGCCTTATTTATTAATCATGTCATTAAATAAAATACATGTCATTACTTAATGTAAAGTACTTACTTACTTATATTTATAATTATTCTATTAATTATTTTTTCATAATTTCAAATGTGTTATGATTTATAATTCAGTTGATATTCGATAAGATTAGTACAATTAGTGCAATATTAACAGGTTGCACCATATTGCCTTATCTCATATATGACAATTTTATTTGTAAAGTGTGTAAACATAACTTTATATAAAGTGTGTAATTCTAAGTTAAATACATTAATATTAAATAATTCAATTATAATATAAATTGATATTTATATCTGTTTAATATTATATCACATTTAAACTGTAATTTCAAAACTATTAATACCATAATCATTTCAGTAGAACAGTTATATTACTTTTGTAAATATGAGTGAATTGACGGCAAATAACTACCAAAAAGGTCTGAAATAATTTAATACAAATTTTTATTAATATTACTTTCAAACAGTGTAAATGAGAATTATACTCATTTTTTATACAGTATTTATTATTAAATGTATACTGTTTTAAATATAATATACTTTATTTAACAACATGTTGGTCAAACAGGTGACCCTTTTCCAGCTCGTGTAGACCCCAATATATTGCGTGTGTATTACAATCAACCATGTCCATTCTCGGAAAGAGTGCGCTTGGTATTAACGGCCAAAGGCATAGAGTATGTATTTGAATATTTATTGGACAAATATTTTTAATTTAATTTTAATTAATTAATTACAAATCTCTGCATCTATTATCAGACACGAGAAAATAGCGATTAAACTGCGGTCCAAACCCGAGTGGTTTCAATCGGTGAACCCTTCGGGCAAAATACCGGTCATTGAGTTCGGGGCCGACAATAAACGGCTAACGGAGTCGCTGGTGATCGCCGACTATCTCGAGGCCGCCTTTCCGGACACTCGACGCCTACAACCGGACGATCCGTACGAGAGGGCCAACGATCGGGTGTTTGTTGAGATGCTTTTGGCGGCTATTTTCAAAATACCCTTCATATATACCGTCGAGAATTTGTCCGAAAACTGGTCACAAATAGCGGC